CGCTGTGCAGTCCCAGTCAGCTCCACAGGCTCTAGGCCCTTGATTCTTTTAGGTGTAGTCCCAAGTCCCTGAGACCCTGCTTGGTTGCTGAGTGGAGACTTCTGTGTTTTGTGTCTTATTGGAGCAGTGGGGCAGGGGGCAGACCCTGTCTGCAGAGACCTGGGGAAGGGAGCTTGCAGAAATGCTCCACACAGCAGGCCCGGGTACCTGGCTTCCCCTTGCACTACTGAGGGCTTTGGCTGAGTCTCTGTCCCTCTTCTGGTCCCCATGTCCCCATCAGACCATCTGACTTTCCGTTGACCTAGGGCTGTTGCTCTGAGAGTCACTCTGTCAGCGCCTGACCTGAACCCTGTGGTGTTCATGGGGTTCAGTGTGGACTGGGTCTAACCGTCCCTATGACACAGTCTGGGTTCATGGTCAGTCAGGGAAACAGACGTGCAAACCCTGAAGGGGTGTGGCGCCCAGGTCTTAGTGCTTGGGCCTGGGTCTCTGAGGCCGATACTCCACACAAGACGGGGCTTGTATAACTGCTCCCAAGCTCTGCCTCTGTCATCTGTGGTTTCTTCTCACTTTCCTTCTTGCATAAGATGAATCATGGGGAGTCCTGACAATGGGGAGCCGTGGAAGGACTTAGAGCAGTGGAGTGACCAGATGTCATGCTCACTGGAAATGTCTCCCTGCCCAGAGGCAGGAAGAGGCTGCAGGGACATGGCAGGCTCGGCTGACGAGGACCAGGACTTGGGGTACAGCTGCAAATCCCATCCAGGGGGGCTGGGAGCATACTTCCAGCCTGAGGTCACTTGAATATTGGGCAGTGGCCAACTTGTCCCCGTACATAGCTTCTATTCCTAGGTCCTGGGCCCTGAAACCAAATATGGTGTGGCCTGAGTCTTGCATCCCCAACTGTGGTCAGGCACAGATCCAGGCGGCACATCCCACCCCAAAGCCGGCCTAGGCCCCAGCCCCACGTCTTGGCAGAGTCAGAGCATCTCAGGACTCAGGGTCCCAAATAGTCAGGGGCTTACTCTACTGCTGAGGATCCATCCATCCACCAATGTGGCTCTCACTGGGTTAAAAATGTTCACAACCAAATAGCCTCTCTCTCCCAGAGGAGGAAGACAGAGCTGGAAACAAAGTCTGCTGTCTGTCCCAGCCACACACACGACCCTGACTGGGGTCCTAAGCAGCTGCCTGACCTTGACCCCAGCTCTGCTCACTTACTGGTGCTCATGGTCATTCTTCAGCCTCTCCCTCTGCTCAGCCCCTAACGTGCTAACTGGGGGAATCTCTTACACACTGGTTCCCTCACTCATTTGTTGATTACACCCCCGTCAAGAGCTGGCCAGGGTTCTAGATGCTAAACAAACACAAATAGAAAATAGAGCTATCCTTCTTGAATGTCATGGCACATGCCTATAATCCCAACACTCGGGAGGGAGATGGAGCAGACTCATGAGTTCAAGGCTAGCCTGGGCTACATGAGACCCTGCTTAAAAAGCAAAAAACAAAATGTGGGACTGGGGATGTGGCTTAGTTGGTAGAGAGCTTGCCTCACATATGGAGAGCCCTGATGTCAATTGCTAGGATGGTATAAACCAGGCATGGTAGTAAGTAGACACCTACAAACTCAGCACTATAGGGAAGGAGGCAGGTAGACCAGAAGTTCAAGATCATCTGTGGGCTACATAGAGAGTTAGAGGCCAGCCTGGGCTATGTGAGACACTGTCTCAAAACAAAACTGAAACACATCTATCCTCATTGGGTCACTTCTGAATAAGTGAACGAGGAATAAGATGTCCAAAATATTAGGGTGCCAGTGAGAATAAAGTCGGGGGCTCAAGTTCTTCAGGGGACCTGGAGTCTTAGGGAGACAGGAGGTCTTCGGCAGGAAAATGGGATGTAAATGAAGAATGAGCCCATTGAGTGTGTGCAAGAAAAGGTTCCAAGCAGAGGGAGTGGCAGATGCCAAGGCCCTCTGTTTATTTCCTGCCCAAAAGTGCCACCACCTTCCCAGCCATGGGTTCACAGAGGAGTTGAGGAACCACTATGGGGCTGCCTTGCTAGGCCCTGGTGGAGTGCCTGGGTACCCTCATTCTCCTGATGTTTGAATGCAGCTTGCTGGCCCAGGTGGTGCTCAGCAGGGGCACCCAAGAGGCTTTGTCACTATGAACAGTTTTGCTGTTACCCTCATCGTCCTGGTGGCTGGCCAGGTTGAACCCCACGGTGATCTTTGCCAGGCTTCTTGGCAAGTGAGCCCTGGATCAAGCTGCCCGCCTAACGCCGTGGGGAGCCTTTTTGGGTGCTGGGATCATTTTGGAGATGAACTATGATGCAATCTGGGGCTTTGCCAACAATGAACTTGTGGTCTCCAGCCCCAATGCCACAGCTGGCATCTTTGCTACCTACCCCTCTGGACACTTAGACATTGTCAATGGCTTCTCCGAACAGTTTATAGGCACAGCCTCCCAAGTGTGTGCTGGTCATTGTTGACCCCTACAACAACACTGTCCCCCATGGCCCAAAGGCCTTCACTGTGGGCCTTGTGGGTCTGGTCATCGGCACCTCCATGGGCTTCAGCTCTGGCTACGCTGTCGACCCTGCCTGCCTCTCTGACCCACAGCTTTCCACTGCCCTGGCTGGCTGGGGCTCAGAAGTCTTCAGGGCTGGCCAACATTGGTGGTGGGTATCCATCGTCTCTCCACTCCTGGACCCCGCTGCAGTGTCTTTGTGTACCTGGAGCAGCCCCTACCCTCCACTGAGATGGCGAATGTGAAGCTGGCCCCCAAGGAGCACAGAGCAGATCTGAATGGGCAGTAACCATCCCTGACTGCTTGCTCTCTCAAGTATCTACTGGCTATGTGTGGGCCACTCCCTAAAAGCCCCCTGGTGATCCCTCTCTCAGGCTAAGAAGCTCCCTGTTGACCCCACCCTGCTGGATGGCCCCTTCCAGGATTTCCACTAAACTCTGTCCAATAGGACATTAGGCCCCCACCCTTAAGCAGTGGTGGGCTAGCTAGTAGGACCAGACATCCTTTTGTTTCCCAAAGGAAGATAACATGCAGCGTGTGTGTGTGTGTGTGTGTGTGTGTGTGTGTGTGTGTGTGTGTGCGCGTGGTTGGTTTTCCAAACATTCAGGGCAAGGGACCAAGTTTTCAGAACGGATTCTAGCAGTTCAAAGAAGTTAGGGAAATGGCAAAAGTGATAACGTCTGTCTGTGAGTGAGGAAAGCACCAGGGTGTGCGTGTGTCAGGGCCTCCATGTGGCAGTGGATCCCATGTGTGTTTCTGACTATGTGTGTCGACCTTTTTTAAAAGTGGGGCTTTGCCAGGCGTGGTGGCACACGCCTTTAATCCCAGCACTCAGGAGGCAGAAGCAGGCAGATCTCTGTGAGTTAAAGGCCGGCCTGGTCTACATAGTGAGTTCCAGGACAGCTGAGGCTATGGGGAGACCCTGCCTCAAAGAGACAAAAAAAAAAAAGAAAAAAGAAAAAAAAAGAACCAAAAAGTGGGGCTTCTCTAGGCCTTGGGAAGGGGCTGGGACAAGGGGGCCACAGCTCACATGTGGAACTGTGGGATCCCTGAGTAGGAGCTGTGTAATGTGTTTCTCTTATAAGGTAGGCATTGGGAGGGGGATGAAGTCCAGGTCGGAAGTTTCATGTTTGCTGCTTTTGTTTTTTAATACAAATATATAGAAAGATGTTAGTCTTAGGGATGGGGTAGGGAGACGCCACTCTATTTCTTTTTTCAGTCTTTTTGAGACAGGGTCTCCCTGGAGCCCCAGCTGACCTTGAACTCACCACGTAGACCAGGCTGGCCTTGAACTCACAGAGATCCTCCTGCCTCTGACTCCTGAGTGCTGGGATTAAAGACTTGCACCACCATACCTGGTTTAGGAGACTCCATTTTAAAAAGCATTTTCCTTCCTGTAACCCTCAACAATGTACACTTGCCTTTTAGTTAAAAAAAGAATAAAATTATGCCAAAATAGCCAATTGTAAAGAAGAAAAACAACAAAAAAACCAAGAGGAAGGTGTGGCTGAAGTAGGTCAGTACCAGGGGGAAGTGGTGTGGAGTCCGGGGTATAAAGCATATACAGGGCCTGGAGAACCCGAGTCTTCCATGTTACTGGGTGGGAATAATAGATCTGGCTTGGGTTATTATTGTTGTTATAAACAGAGTCTCATGTAACCCAGACTGCCCTTGAACTTGCTGTGTAGCTAAGGATAGCCTTGAACTCTTGATCCTCTTCTCTTGGCCTCCCTAATGTATTTATTAATTATTTATTTATTTGTTTGTTTGTTTATCTAGACAGCATCTGGCCCCGTTGCCCAAGCTGGTCCTAAACTTTTGAATGGGTACAAATGGATGCCCCCCATCTCAGCCATTATGTCCAGCTCTGACTTGTATTTTATCTGTTTTGTTTTTAAGATGGGGTCTCATTATATAGCCCTGACTAGCCTGGAACTCCCAGTGTAAACCAGGCTCAAACTTGCAGTGATCCTTCTACCTCTGCCTCTTGAGTGCTGGGATTACACGTATGTGTCACCATGCCAGCCTTTGATTCTTGTCTGCAGAATGTGTGCTAATCTGGGTGAGCCTGTGAACTGGCTTTCCCTGTGCCAGACCCACAGGAGAGAAGGTGCTGCTCACATTCCCTTGTGGCCTGTGGTGCTTATGGAAGTACAGAGCGTCCACTGTCCACTGCCTCCGCCATTTGACTGACTCCCCCTTCTCTCCCTGGCACTCAGCTCGTGTCATTTCCCCTGGGAAGTCCTAGTCAATGATACTGTCCCTTCTGTCTCCAAATGGTGCCCCCACCCAGCCGAGCACTCCTCTAGTCAGGCTGTATCTAATTCTTCCTGGCTTCTAGGCTTGGCCTAGGGCCTGATTCTGAAAGCATCCTAAGAGTCAAACAAGTGAGCCAGCAGCTGGCCTGCCCTTCTGGCCAGGAGGATCCAGCTGCTACTGGCTTGCACACTGCCTGCCCTCCATCTTTTGCAGGTGGGATGGCAGGCCTGATCACAAGAGGAGAGGCTGCATTCCCGTTGGCAGAGAAGACCAGCTCCTAAGCCAGAGCACATCTCCAGGAGACCTGCTGGCCGCCCGGATCCCACCTTCCTACTATGGGCTGCCTAGGCTGGTCAGTTGCCCTTTAACCTGGAAAGAATCCATCCAGATGGCTCAAGCCCCAGGCTCTTCTCTGCTGGACATGACTCCAAGTGTCCTGGGAAGGAATCAACTTTCAGCTCCCCTTAGGTCCTACCTGGCTGTGCTTAGTCCTTTGACCTCTTTCTGCTCAAGTGTTCTGGCCCCTAAAGTACAAATGATGCAACTGTTCCCTGGGGTGGCCAAGGCACCTGAGGGGTGTGAATGCAGACTGCAACGTACAGCAGGCATGGAGTCACCCAGGGCTAGATTTGCTTTTTATGTTCTGGAATCTACCCTGAGTCCCTCCGGTGAACCCGGCACCTTCATGGTACCACCTTCTTCCCCTGCCATTGCCCTTAGCCCCCGCCAGCCACCTCATTCCCCAGGAAGAGGCAATGTAGTGAGCGGAGGACCCCTCCACACACACGCACATACACCTTGTTACTCTGGCTGGGGACAGCATGATAAATAGACACTCTTTATCTCTGTTTCCTCGTCCATGACACAGAGGTGAGAATCAATCCCTGTAGAGTCCCTGTAAGGGTTTATGTTGGTTAGATTATCAACATTTATTGAATGAACAAATGTACAAACTGGTAGGGCAACTGGCCGGGGTGGGGAGATATGACGGAGCACATCTTTTTTTTTTTTTTCCTTTTTTTGGTCTTTTTGAGACAGGGTCTCCCTGTAGCTGCAGCTGGCCTAGATTCGCTATGGAGACCAGGCTGGACTTGAACTCACAGAGATCCGGCTGCCTCCGGCTACCTCTGCCTCTGAGCGCTGGGACTAAAGGCGTGCATTGCCACGCCCGGCTTTTTTTGGTCTTTTTGAGACAGGGTCTCCTGTAGCCACAGCTGGCCTGGAACTGGCTATGAGCCCAGGCTGGCCTTGAATTCACAGAGATCCACCTGCCTTTGCCCCTGGAGTGCTGGGATTACAGGTGTGAGCCACCACGCCTGGCTCCCATATCTTTAAAAAAAAATTTTATTATTATTTTTATTTGAGTGTTTTGCCTGCATGTGTGTAAGTGCACCTGTGTCATGCAATGCCCAGTCAGAAGAGGGTGTCAGATGCCTTAGAACGGGAGTTAGCTGCCATATGGGTGCTGGGAATTGAACCCAAGTCCTCTGCAAGAGCAGTCAGTACTCTTAACCGCTGAGCTTTCTTTCCAGCCCCTGGTGGAACATATCTTTAATCCCAGAGCTAGAGAGGCTAAAATAGGAGGATCATAGGTCTAAGGCCTGGTCTACACAGTGAACTCAAGGCTAGCTTCAACAGCTTAGTGAGACCCTGTCTCAAAAAGCTAGAGCAGGGGCGAGAGATGACTCATCCATTAGGAGCTTGCTGCTCTTTCAGAGGATCCAGGTTTGGTTCCCAGAGTTTGGATCCCAGCACTTATGCTGGGTGGCTCACAACTGCCTGTAACTCCAGCTCCAGGTGATCCAGTGCCCTTTTCTGGCCTCTGCAGACACACATACTTACATGCACATACCCACACACATATATACACACATAATTAAAAAGGGATAGGGGTAGGGAGACTCTATTTCTTTTTTATTTTATTTATTTGTTTTGTTTTGTTTTTTGGTCTTTTTGAGACAAGTTCTCCCTGTAGCCCCAATTGACCTAGACTCACTCTGTAGACCAGGCTGGCCTCAATCTCGCAGAGATCTGCCTGATTCTGCCTTCTGAATGCTGGGATTAAAGGCACGTGCCGCCACACCCAGCTAAGAAAATCTTTTATTTAAAAAATAAAAATGGGTGCTCTAGAGATGGCTCAGCAGCTAAAAAAACTTGTTCTTCCAGAGGACTCAGGTTCGAGTCCCAGCACCCACATGGCAGCTAACAACCATCTGATGCTCTCTTCTGACCTCCACGGGCATTGCATAACACAGGTGCACTTACACACATGCAGGCAATACACTCATACACATAAAATTAAAGTAATAAAATTTTTTTAAAAAGACGGAAAAGGAAAAACTACACTTGCCCCAGGGATCACTCTGTTTCCACTTCCCCAGGGCTGGGGTTACAAGCATGTTGCTGCCGTGCCTGGCTTTTACATGGGTTTTGGAGATCAGAGCCCAGCTCCTCATGCTTACATAGCAAGGCCTTTATCCACTGAGCTGTCCCTGCAGTCCCAAACCCTTGTCTTCATACTGAAAGCATCTGAGGCATTTAGTGATCTGTACTTGAGTGAGCCCAGGACTGCTCATAGAGTTGGCTAGGGGGTGGGGTGTGTGTATAAGCTGGCCCTCAAATAACAGGCTGCTGCTCCAGTAGGCCAAGAGGGCCAGGCCTGGCCAGGCAGAGGATGCTGTGTGGTCAGGCCATCACTTCTGAGAGTCCTTGTGTGTGCTAGACTCTGGCTGCAATGTGAGACACACTGGTCCTCAGGCGTTCACAGGTTTGCCACACAGGGCAAAAGGGCCTCAGTTCAGACCCCCATAACTCCCATTTTACTGGTGACCAGTCAGCTGGCTGGGGTATAGCACAGGCCTCTTGCGTTCCTGAACCCCAAAGCTTTGGAAGCTGGCATCATCTCTCACTGGAACTGACAGGAAGCATGTTTCTTGAGGGTTAGGGATGCCTGTGACAAGCCTCCCTGAATGCTGGTGTTCATCTCTTGCAGACCAGCCAATTCCTGTGGGCAGCTCCTGCTCTGATCTTGGGGAGACCATGTCCAAGCCTCCTGACTACCTGTTGAGGCTGCTCCGGGGCACCCCTAGACAGCGGGTCTGCACCCTCTTCGTTATCAGCTTCAAGTTCACATTCTTCGTCTCCCTCATGATCTACTGGCATACTGCGGGCGAGCCCAAGGACCAAGGGCGACTGTATAACCTGCCAGTGGATATCCCCTGCCCCTGGCTGACCCTTCCTACCCTGCCTTCTGGCACCTCTGCCCCAGGCAATATCTTCTTCCTGGAGACATCAGACAGGATCAGCCCCAACTTCCTATTCATGTGCTCAGTGGAGTCAGCTGCCAGGGCCCATCCTGAGTCCCAGGTAGTGGTGCTGATGAAGGGTCTTCCTAGAGACAGTGCAGCCCTGCCCCGGAACCTCGGCATCTCTCTTCTGAGGTGCTTCCCCAATGTCCAGATACGACCTTTGGACCTGCAAGGGCTGTTCCAGGACACGCCCCTGGCACCCTGGTACCTGGATTTGCAGCGTAGTTGGGAGCCCTACCTGCTGCCGGTGCTCTCCGACGCCTCCAGAATCGCTCTCCTCTGGAAGTTTGGTGGTATCTACCTGGACACGGACTTTATTGTCCTCAAGAACCTGAGGAACCTGACGAACGTGCTGGGCATCCAGTCCCGCTATGTCCTCAACGGTGCCTTCCTGTCCTTTGAGCGCCAGCATGAGTTCTTAGAACTCTGCATACGTGACTTTGTGGCCCACTACAATGGCTGGATTTGGGGCCACCAGGGCCCCCAGCTGCTCACGAGAGTCTTCAAGAAGTGGTGCTCCATTCGCAGCCTGGAGGAGAGCCACAGCTGCCGTGGAGTCACTGCACTGCCGCCAGAGGCCTTCTACCCCATCCCCTGGCAGAACTGGAAAAAGTACTTTGAGGACATCAGCCCAGAGGAACTGGCCCGGCTGCTCAATGCTACCTACGCCGTGCATGTGTGGAACAAAAAGAGCCAGGGCACACACTTCGAGGCCACATCCAGGGCTCTGCTGGCCCAGCTGCATGCCCGCTACTGCCCCAAAACACACGAAGTCATGAAGCTGTACCTGTGAGCCCCTCCAGGCTGCCTTCCTGACACACCAGTACTGTTCCCACCTTTCCTGAGGAGGTTAAGACAAGCAGGCAGGTGAAGGGATCAGCCACTGCCGGTAAGCTTGGGGCAGACTGAGGCTGTGCTGGGGAGCATGTGATGCTTCCAGGCACGAAGCTATCCAGGCCAGAGTGAGGCTGGTGGATATGCCCTTGTCCAGTGCCCTGAGTTGGCAAGTGATTCTAAAATCAAGAACATCTGGGGTCTTAACAGGCAAGAACAGCCTGGAGCATTAGAGAGCCTTCCAAGGTGCCTGGAAGCCATGTGGTGGGGCTGGGGCCAGGAAGGGAACTTGGAGAAGGCTGTGTAGAAGGGCTAAGGGAGGAGGACAGAGCTCCCAGGCAGCTTGGCAGAGTCGGTGCCAACCCAGCCTCATGAGCCCAGGGAGAGGGGTAAAGCTCATGGGGGAGCCCAGTCCTTCCTCCCCTTGGATGCTGTTCTGGAGATCTGTGCCAGTGACCCACCCACTGCACAGGGGTGGGCAGAAGTTCTTTTGGCTCAAGAAAGCATTTTAAATCCTTTCCCTGTTAGACACTGGAGGCCAGAATAAAAGTGACTCACCAATGCCTAATGCCTTGTGGTCAATGCAGCACGCTAGCGAGCCTGTGAGCATAGCCTCAGTCCAGGATAGGAAAGAGACTGGGGATGGCCGCTTCACTGGGTCATGCAACTCACCTGAAAGGGATGGGCTCAGAAACTTGGTGGCTGAGTGACATATCCCTGAGATGGGGGGAGACTGAGTCTCACAACAACCAAGGGTGGGTCCCAGCCCACACCTGCTTCTACCTCTTAATAAAATCCTGAATCTATTTTTACCCAAATGGAGCTTGATGTGGATATAAGGAGTGATGGCGGAAGTCTACAGGAGGAGCTCTGGGATGCTGTTTAGCAGCCAAGGGGGCGAGGCATCTGCACTCTCTCTGAAAACAGGCTTGGGCAGCTTGGTAAGGAGGTGAGCTGCCTGGCTCTAGGAGTATTCAAAATCTGATGCGGTTTTATTATGAAGACAGCGAATTGTAAACTAATTATATCTCTAGTCAATCACAGTATCATTTGAGACCATTTCACTCCAGGGGCTGGAGAAATGGCTCAGCTCTTGCAGAGGACCCACATTTGGTTTCCAGCACCCTCATAAGGTGGATCACAACTGCCTGTAACTCCAGCTCCAGGGAATGCAATTCCTTCTTCTGGCTTTTGTGGGAGCCTGCACTCGTGTGCATACACACACACACACACACACACACACATAATTTATGTGTGCATGACTGTTTTGCCTGCATGTGTGTATGTGTGCCACATGAGTGCCTGGTGCCCTCAGAAACCATAATAGGGTATCAGATCCCCTACAGCTGGAGTTATAGGTGGCTGTGAGTCACCATGTGGGTGCTGGAAACCAAACTCAGGTCCTCTGCAAAGGCAGCAAGTGCTCTTAACCACCGAGCCATCTCTGCAGTTCTTTTATATATACATACAGAAGAAATAATAAGTTTAAAAAATTTTTATTTGAGATAGGGTCTTACTATGTATCCCTGGTTGGTCTGGAATTTTATGTGTAGACCAGCCTGGCCTCGAACTCACAGAGATCTCCCTGCCTCTGCCTCCTGAGTGCTAGGATTATTAGCATCATTTCTTCTGGCCTAAATCTTAAAAAGAAGCTCTTCCTCCAGAGTCCAGGCTGGCTGGCCATGAACTGATAGCAACCCTTTTACCTCAGTCTCCCAAGAGCTGGTATTACAGGCATGAACCACCACACCTAACTTCATCAATCTTTTAATTTAAAAAAATTTATATTTTATGTGTATGAGTGCTTCATATGCATGTAATGCTCACAGAGGCCAGAAGAGGGTGTCAGATCTCCTGGAATGGAGTTTATAAACAGTTGTTAGCCACCACGTGGGTGTTGGGAACTAAAACTGCGTCCTCTACAAGAACAGTCTGTGGGTTTTTTTGTTTTTTTTTTAAATCTTTTTGAGACCGGCCACCATGCCTGGCAGCAGCCCATGTTTTTAACCACTAAGCCATCTCTCCAGCCCCCTTTTTAATTTTTAAAATATTTTTTTGGGCTGGGCATTGTACACCTTTAATCCCAGCACTCGGGAGGCAGAGCAGGCGGATCTCTGAGTTCAAGGCCAGCCTGATCTACACAGTGAGTTCCAGGACAGCTGGGGCTACAGGGAGACCCTGTCTCAAAAAGGCAAAAAACAAAACCAAACAGAAGAACAAACACTATATGTAACTGTATACTCAAACAAGTGACATGGATCTCTTATGGTTGAAGATTGTTTAGTCATGTGACCATCTTACGGTGAGACCCCAGAGTGTGCAAGAGCACAATGAAACAGATCACTCACTCCCCGTAAGCTCTCTCATAGTTCTCTGTTGCCCACAGAGCAAAGCCTAATACTTGAGCCCAGCAGTCTATGGCCTGGCCCCACCTCCCTCCCCATCCACACCAAACCGCATATTCTTGGCTCCTTCCCTCATAGCAGCAACCACTTTGCTTCTACCATGCCACTCCTGTACCTTCCCCAGCCTTCTTCACCACCAACTTTGTAGCCCACAATGCAGACTACTTCCTCCAGGAAGCCTTCTGGGACTGAGCCGCCTCCAGCCCCACAGCAACCAGGGTCTGTCCTGGCTTACTGGATTCTCAGCCAAGGCCTTCAAGGTACGAGCACACAAGTCCATCCCAGCGTCATTCCAGGGTTGGGCTCAGGATTCAATGGGAAAGGAGGGCTTCCATGTAGCTTTGTGAAGGTCTCAAAACATTCTTGTCATCCCCTGCAGAGCTAAGCACCCAGAAGGGGCCAGCCTTGGCCTGCCTTTTCCTGAAGCATCAGTCTGAGACCCTCGGCCATGTAATGCCTCCCACCCTGAGTAGGTGGAGCAGCTGTAACCTACTCTGTGGGCCTGCAGGCTGGCCTTCCCAAGGACCATGTTCTAGAAATAAGATCCAGGAGGCAGCCTCAGCCCCAAAACCTCCTCAGGGTGTACCTAGCCAGGCCCTGTCCAAGAGCTGGAGAGCTGTCAGATGTGCCTGGCTGTCTCTCAGAATGGGTTGTTGGGAGCAGAGAGGCTCGTTCCCGTTCTCAGCTGCCCTCCCTCCAGCAGCCTTCACCTCGCCCAGCCACTCCACTCCACTCTGGGCCTCTTAATACAGCAGCTATAAATTGCTGGTCCAGATCCAGCTGGCCAGAAATAACAGCAGCACCCTAGAGAATAGAAGCCAGACTGTGGGGATGTAGGGGAGCTGGGACAAAAAAGCTGACTCATCCCAAGACTGGCAAGCCTGGAGGTGCCCAATGTAGGGACCCCATTTTCCACCCATCACAGGCCTCATTCATGACCTCCCCTGCAATGAATGAGGCCTGTGATACTATCCAGCTAAAGATGACCTTTGCTGGCCTGCTGCGTCTGAGTTGTGGGCAGATCCCTGCCTGTTCCTCTTTTGCAGAGACCTGGATGGTACCACCTTCCAGAGTGGTTGTGATCACCAAAGGAGCCAGCTGATGCCTGGCACAGATACACTGTGTGTGCCCTGGAATACATTATTGTCATTTCCCACTTTCCACTTGGGGAAATGGAGGCTCAGTCCAGATTCGAACCAAGGCTGTGGCTGTCCTGAGCTCAAGATGGAAGGCAGGCTGGTGGGAAGTCCAGCTTCAGTGTGTATTGGGAGCCACAACTCCTTATCACCTCCTTTTGCCCACAGACTAGAGCCCACAGCTGTCTGTGGGGGTCCCCCACCCTCTGCTTGGGCCTCCAGACACCCTGTAAGCACTTCTCTTTCCCCAGTCCAACTTCACAGTGGCTGGATGCCCTGGCAACCTCAGGCTGTCCCTCTGTAGAAGACGAACATTTTCTGTACAGCTGGGTTCTGAGAAAGGAAAAGGAGGGAGCGGCTTAGGAGGAACATGACCTGGGGATACAAAATCATCCTCAGACCCCTGTGGTTTCTTTCTGGTCAGTGTGTTTAGGGATGTTTTTGTCTAGGGTGGAGGAAGAAGAGGGGGACCCAGCCTTTATTGGGGTCACCAAGGAGCCCACAGAGGCCCAAGGAGGGCTTTCTGTCTACTAATTAATGAGGCTTCCCGGCTGGCTGGCCGGCCAGACACAGGCCAGCTGGGAAGTCTTTCCCAGCAGCTTGGGGCTAGGGGACTAATTTCCTCTGGCTGCTGTATCAATATTCAGTATATTCAACCTCTTGTTTAAATATTAAATTGGACCACCCTCCATCTAAGTGCCTGAGTAGAGGCGGAGATAGCTAAGTAGCTTGGGTCCTGTTCCTGGAAGTCTGATTTCCTGCTTTGTATCAAGTCTCTGCTTGTCCAGCCTGAGCCAGCAGGATGCTAGGCATGCTGGGAATTCTACTGTGAGGCTGGAGATTGGGACTAGGCAAGGGTTCAGGTCCTGACAGCAGGCCATGAACTCAAGTATCATCTATCCTGGGGACATAGGGGAAGCACGCATTTCCGGGGTAGCCCGGACAGGAGGAAGCCAGGTGGTGGCAACAGTGGACTAAACCAGAACCAGAAGTCATCCATGAAGGCCCTAGTTCAGCACAAAAACTCAACCTGACCCCACCAACTTCCAAGGAAAGAAGTGAGATGAAAGTTCTCTCTGGCTGCCACTGAGCCAGTGGGAACTGAGTAAGCCCCACGATGGATTGGTTAAAGTACCCTGAAAGCCACCATAAAAAAAGATCCAAAAGATCAGAGCTCCAGCAGTGTGCAGAAAACCATTTCTGCCTCACTTCTGTCCAAGGCCAGAGGGGTCTTGGCCATCCCCTGAACATCGGGAGGTTTGCCACACCATCCAACTATTGCTAAGTTCCAGCCAACCAGACAGAGGCACTAGCATCCAAAGCAGAGGTCTTCAAGGACATAAACCAGACATTGTATGTGTGGATCTTGTTATCAGTTTGCTCTTAGACACATCACCACACCAGGAAGTAGTCAGGAGGATATAAGCAAGGACCCTGGTTAATTGATCTATAGTCTGGTTATCTCTGTAGCTGCTCTAACAGCTCACTCCCCCACTGTCAGACTGTGAGCCTCTCTAGGGTAAGACCGTGTCTGATCCATCCATAGCCTGGCATTGATTGTCCTACTTGAGTGCTGACACAGGGGAATGACCCAGTGATTGTTTGCTAAATAAGTGAAAGAGATCCTGGGTGAATGAATGAATGAATGAATGAATGAATGAAGAGCCCCTGCTAACATACAGTGTTGAATGTCCCCAAAGGTGGTGTTCCTGGGAGATAGTGGAACTTTTAGGGGTGTGGGCCTGAAGGGAGGTCTTTAGGTCACTGGGGCATGCTATCCAAAGGGACTGTGGGACTCTACCCCTTCCCAAGCAAAGGTGAACAGTTTACTCTGCCATGTCCCCACCCCCTGGGCAAACCTAACACATGACCATGGACTGGAGCCTCTACAACTTGGAGAAAAGCCCAAATCTTTTCTCTTCTGGAACTCACCATGGAGACCAGACTGGCCTCGATCTTACAGAGATCTGCCTGCTTTTGCTACCCACCCCCTCTTTTTCTTTATAAGCTAATTAGCCTAGGCCTTTGCTAAAGTGCCAGAAAACAGAAACCTAACTTGGCCAGTTATTTTATCATACAGAATTGAAGCCCCCTCTTTTTCTTTATAAGCTAATTAGCCTAGGCCAGAAAACAGAAACCTAACTTGGCCAGTTATTTTATCATACAGAATTGAATACATCAAGCATGGTAGTACACCCTGTAATCCTAGCGTTTGAGAGGCAGAGACAGGAGGATCAGGAGTTCGAGGCCGGTCTCAGCTATGACTCAAGC